CGCTTATATTTTATTGTACAGACAGTAGGCATGACTAAAAAATTAGTTGAAATGTTTTTTTTTCACACTTTCTACCTACTTCAAGTTTTGATGATACACACACTCATTGCGTAACCCAGACGAAGCCCTTTTTGGGAGATTACGAAGCATTCACCTTCTTTTTTTCTTAAAGACTCTACTCCGCCCCGTCAATGATTTACAGCTTATCCGTTTTCATTTTTTCTTACTATTCGTTTCCTTTTTCTTCTTCCAAATAATACTCTCTTTCAAACCTCGTTTTGTTTTGCCGCCGCTGCTTCTTCCTTATTTTTTTCTTTTTGAGACATCTCTCTTATTATTCTCAGTCTCTCCCTGAACATCAACTTTTCTCCATAATCGAATCAAGCGGAAGAGATGAAGGATGGTCATGAGGGGAGAAGGAGTATGTCAAGAATTAATTGAAACTCTCTGTATGTTCCGCCTACTTCTTTTTTTTACCAGTACTTTTTCCTAGTACAACAACTACTATTTTAATGGAGAAAAGTTCGAAAACTGGGATACAGAAACGTTTGACCTTGTTTGAAAATTGTTGCAAAGGCAATTTGGTTGAGTTTATTGAGATTTGACTCGATTTTTCCTGATTAGCTTTAATATGATTTTCAATTGTTTTCAACCCCCCCCCCCCACCGTTAACTTTGAACTGATTTATCTCGGTTCCTGTCAAAGATATCAAAAAGGCTAACTAACAAAGTGCTTCATATTATCACAAACATTTTCATAGTTAACACATTTTTGCTATCTATTATATGAGCCGAGATAATTGATGAAAATATAGGGCAGATTTTCTATTAGAGCGTTTACGGTATATTACCCCCTCCTCAAAGTTTGAAACAAGACGCTCAACTGGTTTATCAAAACACCTATCAATTAATTATCACTCATTGTTACGTATCTTCTTCCCCTCCCACTAACTAAAATTTTTCGAATTTACTTCCAACTTCCGGTCAACTACGAAATTGATTTTTTTTTACTTTTGTCGTCTCCCGATGCCACAAATACTACTATCATTTTACATCTTAATGGCAATCTCCGATAGAGGAGAACCAGTTGATTGACAGTCTGATATAATATCCCATATCAATCTCATTATCCGGTCAAACGGATTGCGCGGGAGAAAAATAGAAAAGAACAAATAAACCAAAATTTATTTATGATCGTTTCATATTCTCTCTTTTATCCGGACACCAGCAAATCAACCAATTGAGTGATAATATCTCCTTCTCCTCTAGAGACGGCTTGATCAAATACAGCCGTTTTGAAAACGGTCATTCACACACACCCATTCCCCTTTTTGCCGCCCAAATCATCGTTTACCCGTTTCTGTGTATTGCCACCACCAAACACTATACCGCACCCATATCTCTTTTTTCCCTCTTCTTCCTTTTTCCGTTTCCTGTTCGTATACATACTTTTGTACTTTTTTGAAATGATGCTTATGATTCTTGAAACGAAATTTTCTTGTTGCAGAAAAAATGCTCAAGTACCAAGTGAAATCGTCAGGTTTAACGTTGCGACCAGCCAATCGGGCATCGAGAACCTCTTCGTCAAGTGAGTTTTGTCTGAAAATGTTGATTCACAGGAAATTAGTTAAAATACATTTTCTTTGATTCACAGGATCATCTTAATTTGAGTAGATTTTTTGATAAGTTGTAGGATAAGAAATGATTATTCGGGTCATAATATTTCAAAGTCTTATCAGCTCTCTTATCCAGAATATGTTATCCTACTCAAAATCAAACGATCGGGCAGTTTTTTTCTAAATTGAAGCTTAGGATCTGCAACTTTTTGAAAATTAAACAAATCAAACTGATCTTTCAAAGATCCTGTGTAAACAGCAACCTACACAAAAGATAAAACTAGACTGTCTCACCAACCATCTTTGATTTTCAGATTCTTCCTCTCCCTGCTCCATTTCAATGCATTCGCTTCTCGATGACACCCTTCTTGGAATTCCAACCACTTCGAGAAGTAATTCTCTCCTTTCACTCAACTCTAATGACAGTAACCTCTCGGATGCTTCTGATGTTGTAAGTTTAACTAAATTCAATTCTCTGATTCTATAATCTCTTTTCAGGGAGTATTGAAAGTAGACACCCGGAGTGTGAAGCAGTGCACTGACTACAAAACCATCAGAGTAACCAATGGAACTACTGCTCGTCACGTCGTTGAGAAGTTTCTGAACACTTTGAAGCTCACTTGCCGTGATGCGAACCTCTTCGATCTTTGGATGGAACTCACCACTCGAGCCTCTGGAGCTCCAGTCGTCACTCTTCTCAAGCTGGATCCCGATGCACGACCATACGAACTTCAGAGATGTCACCCAATGGGAATGTCTCGTTTCATTCTTCTCCAGAATCCATCTGGGTTCCTTGTCCGTGTTCATGATCACAATATTTCTCCACAATCCAACTACAAATCCCTTCTTCTCTCGTCCCAAACAACAACCATCGAAGCTATCCATATCGTTTTGTCTCTGAATCGGAAATACGACGATGCTTCTAAATATGGTCTGTTTTTGGCCACACCTGGAGCAGATGCTCAAATTCCTGATGACGTCTCATTGGTTTCAATCGCAAGACTGTGTCAACCAGATCAGAAAATTATTATTCGACACGTTGATGTTTTTTAAATTGGTTTCAGTTTTCAGCAGAACCGAGAAACATATTCCTGTATTGTAAACACTTTTCGCTTTAACGGTATTTTAATGAAGCTTATACATTTCCTAAAAGTAATTCAAATGGTACAGACAAGGAATATTCTCAAACATTCTATTTTATGAGGGGAAAGCCGAAATCGAAAGTGAACTTCAAATAGGCATAACGTTCGTTGTGGGACTAATTAATCAAACATTGGTATCAGCAACAGAACATCGAACACGGTTTGCTTCATATTCTTCGAATGGAACCATCTTCTTTCGAAGCACGATCCAGGCAGCAATGATTACGACGAACTGAAAACATACCAAATTTTAAAAATACTTTTTAATAGCTCACATTTCCGATAAGAATGAACCATGGGATTCTTGGACCGAAAAAAGTGTAGGTAGCGCTCATAAGAAGTGGAGCAATCATTCTTCCAAACGATCCAGCCATTTGATAAAATCCTTGATAAGTTCCCTGAAAAGAAAATCTTTAATTTTTTGTTAAGCATTCCGAATACCTGTGGTCTTGGTCCGACAACTTTGGAGTAGAGAGTAGTGTTTGTGATATTTATGATAGAGAAGGATACTCCAAACACCATTATGAATCCGGCGTAGTAAGCCTGGAAATGTTAGAATCATTCCAATTTTGGTAAGAGAGATTTACCCAGATAGACACAGTAGTCAAGTCTTCGCACCAAGTATATTTTGTGAAATCGCAATTAGCATCACTTCTTCAAAAACAACTTTAGGATCTACGTAAAAAAAAATCAAAAGATCTCACCATTAATCATAGGTTTCACATTATCCTTGTAGAAGTTGTATGGATATGTGGAGAGCATCCAGACGAGAGGAATAACAAGAGATATCACTGAATAAAGACATTCCTTTAGACTGAAATCACAATCAATTTTAGAGACTCTGAACCAATCTCCGAAGCTCACTATTTCCGGATTCCAGTGAAGATGAATGAGAGATACAATACAGACGCAATCGCTCCAGAAATCGTGTGCATGGTAGCATTAATCGCGACAGCCTTTTCTTTTTCAAAAGAAAACATCATCATTGTGAAAGCAACGTCGATACTGAAAATTCAATTAGTCGATATTATCATGAGATTTTCAGAAAAAAAACCTTTCGACTGTTGTATTGATAAATTGTTGAGTGAAGCGGGTCATTATACACACAGAAATTGCAATCATACATGGATTGATCAGTTTCTTCTGGAAACAGAACAACGATTTATCGATAATCCACCCAAACGGCAATTTTGAGGAAAATTATCTCGATTCCTGTGAAATATATTAAAAGTTTGTCAACTAATACAACAGTGGTGATTTCATGATAAATAGTTTATCAGTTGACAAATTTTTGGTATCTTTCACAGGAATTGAATTGCTTTATTTTGTGCAGAAATCCATGTAGATTTCCATAAAAACAGAGAAAAAATTTAAAAAAATTCTTTCATTGAGAAAAACGGCATCGAAAAGTCAAAGTGGGATCCGGTGGCCTAGCGGCCAGGTGTGAGTTTTCTAGGCCAACTGCCGGTAAAAGCGCGCGAAATTCCAATTTTTATTGACTTTTAGTGTTTTCTCTGATGTTTTTTAAAGATTTCAAAATGTTTTTGTTAATTTCCTCCCAGGTGTATGAAAAAACCTGACAAAAATAAGAGAAAACACTGAAAATCCATAAAAATTCGAATTTCGCGCGCTTTTCCGGCAGTTGGCCTAGAAAACTCACACCTGGCCGCTATGCCACCGGATCCCACTTTGACTTTTCGATGCCGTTTTTCTCAATGAAGGAATTTTTTTCGAATTTTATCTTTGTTTTTATGGGAATCTACATAGATTTCTGCACAAAATAAAGCAATAAAATTTTTCACCGCACACCACCTTTAAGGTGGAGTTTTTTGGTAACTCTATTAGTCTTCCGGTCTATTTAAATTCTTTCCAGTAACCTAGTACTAATTTTAAACGTTTACGGTGAAACATGTCTTAGGAAGTCTCCCTAGCTGTCAACTTTATCCCAATTTTTCTCGATTTTTAAAAAAAGATCAAAAAATGGTCAACTGAGAAAAGTTCTCTCAGAAAACAATTACCGTAAAATCCAAAATATTTTGTCATAGATTCGGGTAACCTTAATGAGTAGGCCTTTTTGGGTTAGGAGGCCCTTTTCCCTTTTCACTAGTTTTATGGTGTTACTAAAATTTTATGAACCCCATAAAATAGTTTTTATCCGGATTGTTTTAAAGTTTCTGAAAAATGAATAAATTCTACATACAAAAAACACTCTCGTATTACCCTTCTAACTTTCAACTTTGAGCTAATTTATCTCTGTTAAAGAAATCAAAAAGTAGTCAGCAAACAAAATTTGGCTGATATCATATAATTATTTTATCAGTTGACGAAGTTTTTCTATCTTTAACAGGAAATGAGATATATGAGCTCAAAGCTGATGCATTAAAGTATAGTGCTTCTGGTATGTTATTGATGCGGACTTGTGAGGTCTTACCACCGTACTCTAGCCTTTTGCTATCCATCACTTCACTTTCCTTTCTATCAATTCTACCTTCTTTTCGAAAAAAAACTCAATCGGAATTTAATAAACAAATTCATGTCTTTGTCATCATCTTTTTTGTTCCCATCAATCTAACATTTCTCATTTTCGGTATATCTAGTTTACTGAACTACTGAATAGTTTTTTTTCCAGATTCCAATATTCCAGTCGCTGTTCAAATCGCAATGCAACTCTTTGTAGCTTCAGTGACATCCTTCACAACGAATCTTATCCTGTTTTGCCCAAAATTGCAAAGTTAAAAACATGTATGTAATCGTAATCAAAACTGTTTGGGAATTTTGATGCGAGCACTCTTGGCTATGAGATGTATTTTGATTACAACTAGTTGTTTCTATTCACCTTTGGCACATCTTCTTCAGCACTAGAGTCGGCACTATCTAGTATAATTTGCTTTTCGACGAAAGCTAACTGAACAATCAGTAAACCGATAGTATTGATGACTAGACAAAGAAGTGCTGGAGCGGTGTAGATATCGATTTTTAATCCAAGAGTAGTAATTCCTTCAGCTCCAAGTGGTGTGAAGAGCAATTGAAGAGCAGGACCGACCATACTCCCGATGTCAATCCCTCCTGAGACACAGGCAATTGCTTTTGATCTATCTTTAGAAGTAGAAGCGGTGGATGCATAGGCGCGGAGGAGACTCATATTCCCTGGAATGAAAAGATTAGATTATTGGGTGGAAAAGTTATTTAAAAAAAACATATGGTCCATATAACTCTACCAGATCCTGCTCCAGCAATCAATCTTGAGAACATCATAACATAGAGATAATGGTCATTCCAGAATTGAAGACTCAAGTAAACCAAATTTCCGAATGCCATAATGATGAATCCGATGATCATCGGAAGTCTGACTTGAGAGATATTGTTGCTCCAATAACCGAAAAATGGGGAGAAAATGCATTGAGTGAAGCTGTAGGCAGCAACGACGATTCCGAAGCTGCTTTGTTTCAGATCAGGTTGCAACTGAAGATAATTAAAGGGAATTAAAAGATTCAAAACAATTTGAAACCGTCAAAATGTAAGGCCACATTGAGGGGAAGAATATTGCAAACTGAACGGTTTGAATGAAAGAACATATTCCTCCGATGTATATGGGCTTCCATGCAGTCTCTTGAGTTGGTTTCTGAAAAAATACTTTAAAAAAAGAATTTCAAAATTATAACGCAAACCGGCAACATTTTAGCAGAGTCACAAAACGACAAATGAGAGAACTCTACTGTATTTTTACTATTTAAACCACTGAGCGAGTTCGGAAAGAAGATAGAAACATTATTCAATGTTAAAACGGCATCAAACTATCAGTACCGGAGAAAACTAGTTTTGTCAGGTGGACCTTGCAAAGTGAAAGAATCATACCTCTCTATCTTCCTCGATGATGAAATTCTGGACTTCTTCTCTTTCCTCGTTTCGTTTTTTTTCTTTTTTGATTGTTTGATAAAAGTTGAATTATCTTCTTCTGAATCGATTTTGGAAGACATTGGGAACTGAAATAAGCAAGAAGAAAACGAAATAAAAATAGTTGTAAATGAGAATGAAGCTTATCGATCAGAGGCAAAGTTTCTTTGAGTCTCTTATCCAGGAAGACTCTTTTTCGTATTGAAGAATGTAAGAAGAAATAGTACAGACGCAGATGAACAGAGTGCACATTGACACAGAAGAACAACGAAAAGAGGACGGACACATGTTGTTCCCGTGACCATTTAACTGGTCTATCAGTTATACCTAGAGATCAGAACAGGAGGTTTTCAATTAGGCTGTAAGATAATTCAAAACTCGGCTGTCGGCTTGTAACTTCCGGTCAGAAGTTGAGGATATTCGGCTTGCCAGATTCTAGTGGTCTTATCTGGATTCTGGCGAACCTCTGGCCAGGAGTTGCCGACGGCGTCCGAGAAGTTTTAGAAGAATTTCTGGATATCCTTTTTTCACAAAGTGGAAAATCGAATCGGAAAGCTCGTTTCCCGTGTTTCTCGCATTCCTTGGATTGTGCCTTGAACCTTGGTCTGAAAGTACAGCGGAACCAAAATTGTACCCCTCAAATGCGGAAACTGACAATATTGTGAGCAAACAATGGAATCTGAAATGAAACTTCTTTAATGAAAAAGTGATAGTTCGAATGGTTCAGAACAACGAAACAGAAGACAACAGAAAGTACCAGTTTCGAAATAAATTGTTTATTCGATTCCTGCACTTCGATTAGTTTCTAAGAACATTGAATAGTATCAATCAAGGAGAATATGTGGGATGACGAACTATAGTAGTTAGGAAATATATATTTTGCTCGATTTTCGTCCTTTTTCCGACAAGTTTTTAGATTTAGAAAAAATGTATTTTCCTAATTTTTTCTTGGAGGTTTTTAAAACAAGAGTTGTCGAAAATCAATTTTAAAAAAAAACCGAAGATTTTAGGTTACGGTGATTTTCGATTTTCTCTTCCACAGCTCCAATTATTTTTATACAAGCAGAAGACCGGTGAATATGACTTTGAATACTGGGAAACAGGAGTTAATCTAATATGCTTTCTATATTCTTAGACCGTGGATTTCTGAACCTTTGATTAATTCAATTTCCTTGGTATCACAAAAACTAATAAGTTACCCCTAGGTGTTGCACCGAAGAAAATATGAAATAATAGTTGTTGAGTTTTTAGAAAACCTTGATTTCCGTTTGTTATTCTTGATGTATAAATACTATCTTTGATGAAAAACAATAATTTAACCTAGACAGCGTCAGGAGTGGTTATGTAATTAGGTTAGGGCTTGAGTAATTTCTTTACTTCTTCACTTTTCCGGCTGACTCGGTTTGTAGAACATTTCCAGCTTGAGGAAGTGGTAAATTGAACTCGAGAGCAGCTGGTTCAATATCCGGTACTTTTTTGTAATGTCTGGATTTTCCAACTAGTCAGGGTATGTTATACAGACTATGTAACATAGACTGAGTTCAGAATAACAGTTCATTTCTTTCTCTGGTCTTGAAACTGTTGTCCCAAAAAGATTACCGAATTTTTTTTTTAATTTTGTTCCCGAATTTTTTCCAGTAATTGTTTTTTCTCATAAGATTCTAATCGGTTTGCTTGAAAACGACAAACAAAGTAGAAAACTTTTAAAATTGGCCATTCTAGGGAAAAAGCAGACAGTAATCGAAGGAAAACGGGTTCTAAAAATTTTGAGAAAGTTCGAATAGATGGTTCAAAATAACAAGATAACCTATTTCCCGATTTGTATAAAACTGCTTTTAAGCATACAAATTAGGTTGAACTCTAAAATAATGTTTCCAGTTAAGATCAAATTAATGCATGCATGGCTAAGATTTTCTCTTTTTTCTCAAAAGATATTTGTGGTTTTTTATTGGAACTTGATCTTATAAATGTATCTTTTCAGATAAAAATGGGTTTCTTTGACGAATTATTTTCTCTGAAATCCAATGAAACTTTAAGAGTGGTTGCTGCAATTTCGTTAACAATTGTGAGATTTTTGCCATTTTTTTTTCAAACCAACATAAATGAATTTCAGGTTAGCATATTGGGTGCTGTTTTCAATCTTATCGTACTTTTTTCCATTATTTTTCGAGTGAGTAAGAAAGACGGATTTCTGAAAATTTGCTGTCTGAAGAGTTTTGGTAATGGAATTGTTTGTGTCGGATATCTAGTATGGCCAGTGCCAGTGACATTTTTGTGAGTCATATGACAATCAAATTTTGACTTATGTGTCTAATTTAATTTTATTCAGAAACTCATTATTTTTACCGCACATGTTTGATGCATTTATGGGTCAGTTAGTGGGATGGTTCGCCTGGTGCATCGGACCATTATCACAGGTTTTATTGACAAGTAACAGGATATCCGCTGTGTTTTTTCCGCAACTTTATAACAGATATTACCGGTTTACACCTAGTAATGTAAGTTTAAAGTAACAGAATACCCGGAAGTATTTCTAAAAAAATTGCAGATTGGAATAATTGTATGCCTTCTTGTTGCATTTTTGTTCTTTGCTGCTTTCTTTCCTGGTTCGTTAGATTGAAAGTTCAAGAACACAATTTGTTTTGTTTCAGAAGGATGTCATTATTTATACAACTTGGAATATATTGGATGGCTTCCGGAAGATTCTTTATGCACCACTGTTCGTCGCTATATCTTTCTGGTTTCCATGTTTTTGATCGTAGTATTCACAACAGCTTGTGGAGTTGTGTTATTTTTAAAATTGATCGCCGACTCGGTAAGTTTCAGAATTGATTGAATCAAGTATTTCTATCTCAGTTCCAGCAAAGCCGATCAATGACTGACGCCCAATCGACAAAACGCCGTCAGAAGCATCGGAAGGTTTTGTACCAAACTTTGGTTCAGAACAGTTTGATACTAGCTGACACCTTGAATACTACTGTAACCTACAAATTATTTACACTTTTATTACTTCAATTTCTCACTTTATCATTTTCAATGGTTTTCATAAGAATGTTAGAAGGGTAGGTCTTTTCGGTAGGAATCCTTGCAAATTTTAGTTTCAGACTGATCATGTTGACAATGAACGAGAGGATCAATAGCGGAGCAAAACTGCTATTTGGATTGAAAAAGCCAGGAGAAAACCATGGAGTGAACATTGGACATACTATGATGGTTTGGAATGTTTCAACGACTTCTGCATTTCAAAAATCATAGTTTTTTTTCGATAAATTTTTTTGAACCGTTTTTATTGTAACTCGAAATGTGTTTTAAAAAAGCTATAGCTTCTAATTGTGTCAAGCCTCGATGAGTTTTTCCTTCGTTACGCTCTAGGGATTTTGTAGATGCCTTTCTCCGTATCTATGTAACTCTCAATGCTCAGAGAACATCACGCCTACCTAGATTCAAGCATCATTCTCTAATCATTAACTTTTATCAACTCTTTATGGAGCTTCAAATAGATGAATCCCTCTATCAATACTACTATTACACTTACCCAACATGCCCTAAAGATGAGCGGCTATTTTCCAAATGGCAAACTCTTGCAGTGAGCAGTCACATTCTTCTGATTCCTTTTCTGCCCCTATACGTTTTCACTGGATATGTGATTCTGAAAAAGACTCCAAAAATAATGGGGTCCATGAAATGGGCAATGTTGAATTTGCACCTATGGGCATCTTTTGTGGACATTTTACTATGTTCCTTAATAACTCCCTATTTCTTTTTTCCATCGTTTTCCGGATTTCCCATCGGATTATTTCAAGTGTTTGGGGTCCCAATCGCATTTCAAGTATATCTAGGAATGACGTCAGTTTTTCTACAAATGTTTTCCGTAGTACTTCTCTTCGAAAATCGATGTCATTCTTTGATTGCTCACAGGTTATCTGATCATAAATGGAAGAGAATACTGTTTCATTTGGTGAATGGAATAATTGCAGTGTTCTATATGATACCAGTGTGCCTAAATATTCCTGAGCAGAGTGTAGCAAAACTGAATGAGCTTACTGTAAGTTTTTTGTCAAGTTATTTATGCTGTCAAAGAAGACAATAGTTTTATTCCAGAAAATTCCATGCCCTACAGAAGAATACTTCACAGGACCAACATTTGTCTTCCTGACATCTTCTTTCTGGCAACGTTACCTTGTTATTGCAACAGCTATCGTGGCTAGTCTCATGTTTACAGAATTGTTAATTTTCACATTTTTATGTGCACACTGCTTGTATTTTGCCATGAATCACATATCATCCATATTGACCGTTCGGCTTCAGAAGTCATTTTTTGTTGGAAGCCTAATTCAAGTCTTGATTCCTTTTGTTTTTTACTCAATTCCATCTTTAATCATAGCAATTACAATTTCCATGGAATATTATAACCAAGTCCTAAACAACGTTTTTGTTCTCGTCATGTCGTTTCATGGATTCGCTGCTACTATAGCTCTTCTTATCATCCACCGACCCTATCGTACTTATGTGATGTCCCATTTTTCAAATAAGAATCCCCAAAGTTTCGGTACCAGTGCTAACCATTCGAAATCTCTGAAAATGGTTTCAAGGTCTTAATATTTTTGCCCCGTCCCCAACTTTTCCAAATATCCAACTTTTTATTGTCCACCAATAAAAAATTTATCAAAACAAGACAATTGAGGTTATGATCATCAAAAAACCAAATGTGTCCAAAAGCTTGATAGGTAACTTGGCTTGTTTTTTTGACGAGTGGATACAATTTATGCATAAACTTTCTCGTAGTCTATTTCCTTCTCCTTTTTGGAAGTAAGAGGACCTCAATGTTGACTGAATAGGGATTCTCAGAAAACACTCTGGATTTCCGGATTTCACAAAAAGCTTTTTTCGAAAAGTTGAAATCTTTCGGTTTTGAAAATAACGGATGATTGAAGTGGCTGCACTATTGTTTATACTTTGAAAGGTGAAGGATTTCAGTTCAACAGGAAAACCAGAAGAAAAAACGAAGTTTGAGTTTTTTTCTAGAGCAGTTATACACTACTGAACATAATTATAAGTTCACTTAGAATTTCGAGTTTTGGCGAAAACTGTGAATATAGACTGAACAGCATATGAACGCAATAAATACTATTTTGAAATTTCAACTAATTAATACTATTCAATGCCGCTATCGTTTCTTGATTTTGGAAATTTCGAAAAAATCAGAAAAATGACCTGAAAAAAAGGGACATAATTATAAGTTCACTTGAAACATTCGAAAATAACTCATGATATAAGTTTTGAACTGTAAGGAAACTACTTCACAGGACCAACAAGTTGGTCCTGTGAATTATTCCTATTAACATTAAAAAAATCTTGGTTGTATCTATGCTCATAATTGTGCCTTATCCGTTTTTTGTCAGCTTGTACTGAAAATGAAGTTTTTCGTTGATAACTGTTCTGAAAATCATGAGGACTCTAATTTTTTGAGCGTCTTAGTATTTTTTTTAAATGCATTACTTATTTAACTATTGAAAACATTATGATTTTTTCGCCAACCGGAGAAAATACTGTGTATTCAAGAACATACATGAAACCAAAAAAATCTGTATTTGTGTTCATGGAATCACGCAAATTTTCGGACCACACAAAATTTCAAGCACAAAATCGGGTTAGGCATGTTCAAGGAGTTGTTTTGTAAGGAAGGAGACACGCAATCTGAAATTTCTTTATGTAATCACACTTGCCGGTTCTTAAATTTACATATAAACTAGGGAAATCGTTCAAGCATTCCGGTATAGACAAACAATGAACCCTGGAAATCTGCAATTTTTGAAAAACATGACCTGTTTCCGAGCTCTCAATTTTTGTTTATAAACAGTTTCATCTGTTTTTAAGTTGCTGAACATATTGAACAATTCGGAATTTTTGTACCTTCTGAGAGCCCTCTGTGACACTTAATGAGAAAGTACAGAAATTTTCATTCCAAACAACTCATTCTGAAGGGGCTCTTCTATTACATGGGGCCGTTTGTTCGGCAAATAATTCGGAGGGTACAAAAACTTAGGGGTACAAGGGGGTACAAAGCAATTTAGGGGTACAAAATCATCAATTCGAGGGTACAAAACACCGGAAAAAAGGCTTAATTTGTACCCCCAAATTGTGGATTGTGTACCCCTAAATTACTTTGTACCCCCTTGTACCCCTAAGTTTTTGTACCCTCCGAATTATTTGCCGAACAAACGGCCCCATGTAATAGAAGAGCCCCTTCAGAATGAGTTGTTTGGAATGAAAATTTCTGTACTTTCTCATTAAGTGTCACAGTGTCACGGCTCTCAGAAGGTACAAAAATTCCGAATTGTTCAATATGTTCAGCAACTTAAAAACAGATGAAACTGTTTATAAACAAAAATTGAGAGCTCGGAAACAGGTCATGTTTTTCAAAAATTTTCAGATTTCCAGGGTTCATTGTTTGTCTATACCGGAATGCTTGAACGATTTCCCTAGTTTATATGTAAATTTAAGAACCGGCAAGTACGATTACAATTTAGGGGTACAAAATCATCAATTCGAGGGTACAAAACACCGGAAAAAAGGCTTAATTTGTACCCCCAAATTGTGGATTTTGTACCCCTAAATTACTTTGTACCCCCTTGTACCCCGAATCGTTGTACCCTCCGAATTATGTGCCCGCTTGTTCAAGTCAAAAAATGGAATTGAAAATCAGAAATAGCTCTTTTGAAATGAACACTAGTGCATGATGGGAAACTAAATTGAGGGAAACCATAAAAAAATTAAAACTAATTCCTTATTTTCCGAAAATTCAAAACGCAATGTGTCTAAAAATGAAATCATAAACTCCTTTTCCTGGTTTCAATTCTTCCTCTAAAAGTTTGATTCTTTAATCTAGACATCACTTTTCAAATTTTCTTTGCTAAACTTCATTTATCTTTTCACTTCCTTTCCTTTTCAAATTGAACGAATTCTATACCTTTTCAATTGAACTTTTTTTGACCGCTTTTCCGTTGACCACAAATCACAAAGGGTTCGGGGAAAGCCAGAAAGTTTCCCCATTTTTTTGAAAATCCATTTTTCCGTCATTATTTCCTGGAAATTCATAGACTAACTAAACTAGCATCCTAAATAAATATGTCAAAAACAGGAATGGATCGAGCAATGCTATTTTTTATTTTTGCCTTCTAAAGAAAAGTTTTTGCAGAACAATGATCAATGCTAGAAATGATGTGAGGCTTGACTTTCGACTAATATGATTTTTAAGCATAAACTTGAAAGGCAAGCCAGTTTTTATAGTCTGATTTCTGTTTTGAAAACCGCTATATGTATATTAAAGTAGTACTAACTTTGGTAGATGTTTCTTTTACTGCTCATCGGTTGATATTTTGAATTCTAGAGGTGTCCGATTTCCAGGAAAAGCTCCCAGGAAGACAGCAATTGAAAACTGTCCTTTTCCTATACATGAATAATCAGGCCCGACCTACTGGCCCCGGGTTTTCCAGAATTGAAATTTTCCAATTTGAGAGAGAAAAAACTAGATAAAACCCTGGGCGGGTCTTGAAAATTCAAAAATTCCCGCCAGTTGTAATTACATATGTTTTTTCCAGATTTTGCGGTTACAATAAACTTCCCGGAAAACCGAATTTAAATTCCGGAAAGTTTAGAAAACTTGCAGATTTTGACGTTTTTTCCAGAAATCGACTTTGGGTCTTCTGTTGGGAACCTCAACAAGTATAATAAAATTGCATCCTATTTCTTAGATTTTGTGAAGTTCCTATATTCACAGTTGACCTTTTTTGGCAGAAATCGAAATAAATTGGCTCAAAGTTAAAAGTTCGGCGGATTTTCTCTAACAGGTTATACTGTAACTGTTTTGAACCGAATATGTAAGCTTTATTCCAATCACCGGGAGTTTATTTATTGAACTTTTTTTCAAGTCATTTCATATTTCCAGAACTATTTAATTCACCGATTTCACTTCCTTTTCATAGAAAAAACATTGAAAAACACTAGGAGAATAATCGAGAAGCTCGCAGCGAAAACAAATCGCTTTCAGACAACTTTGTTTTTTCCGATACCTAGATTCATTTTCTACTCACTCAGTTTGTCTATTCCGTTCAAGTTCATTTGTTGTGCACCACCATGGAGAGAAGAGGAAGAATGAATGTTCCCGAATGGCTAATTTGCTTCCCGCCCATGCACTTCTTACTGGGTTTCTTCCCTTGTTTTTTCTTTTCATTTGTCTAGTTTTTTTCAAAGAAGCGAATTATTTTTGTTTAGAAACCTGATTTCTGGCTGTGAGAAGTGTTTTGAGTATTTTGTTATCTCATTAATAATTTCTCTTATTCATCAAAACGAACAATACACGATTAGCTGGAATAGGTCAGGCAGCAAACAAAAACCATTATAAAGATCTTTGAGAGAAAATAGAACATAACGGAATCTCATTGACTTCTCAATTGTTTTTTGGCTTACCGTAAAACCTATATTAGAAGGGCAGACCATTCAATTTTTCTAAGGTACCTTCAGGATGTCCTTCTGTTACATGGTCTTTCCATTAGAGGAGGCCCTTCTATTTTCCAAAAATTTTCACTCAACTCTTTAATTTTATAGTTCATAGTGGATGCACTGTCGAAAGATCTATTGTATCCCTAGCTGTGCAATTTATCTTCCTGGTTATTGCAGACATTTTTGTTTTTTTTTAAATTTTCTGGTAGTTTTATTCATGTCGTTTTTTTATATTCCTGTTCATCTAAAAACCGAAAAAAAAACTGAAAACAAAGCATTGAATAACCGAAGCCTATCCTGAAATAGAGGTTGAAATAGAAGCCCACGAGCTTATATTAGTGAAAATACAGTGCGCGTCATAATGATAGAATCACCCCATATTTTGAGTTTTTCAGAAAAACTAAAAATTTTGTAGAAAAACCGCTAATGTCATTCGATTCAGCACCCCAAAAAACCTATCGGTCTCCTGGATCAAGTGCCAGTCGCGTGTTTTAGGACTACAGTAACCAAAAGTCTCTCTGCACACCGCGTCATAATGATAGAACCACCCTGGAAAACGTAAAATCTCATGTTTATGTGAGAAAAAAATTGAGATTTTTTTGTTGGAACTCGTTAAAATAGTCATGAAACATTCTATTTTGACAGTCTGTACAAAAATTGATGTCTCTATTCAATTTTTAGAAAAAATTATTTTCATACATTTCCGTCATTTTTTGGGTTTCCAAAATAGCTCCTGGATAAAAAATTTTGAGCTGAAATTCATAGAAAATATCTTGTAAATGCTTGTAGTCACTCTGCAATTGTTCAAGGCATTCATGAGCTCTGGTGGCTCATAATTGAGATTGAGCTTTGAACTGAAAAAATAGAAGTGTAAAACGTTCACAAGATGTTCTAAGTTAGCAAAATCGTTTTCGAAGTTTTAAATTTGTTCAGAAAAATAATTTTTACTGGACAAATTCAGTTTTTAAAAGAAAATCAGAACCACCGAAATTCAAGGCTCGTTTTCGAAGTGTTTTCCTTAACTTACAAACCACGACTCAGAATAGCATGAAAACAACTAGTAGACACTCCAGACTACTGAACCAAATATTTTTATC